AAGTGGCTGCGCAACTATAAAACTTTTGCAAGCGCAAGTAGTTATATGCATAGCTCTGTATGTATGGAAATGTGTATGCATTCATACACAGATACACAAGACTGCGTGAGCAGGGTCTCCAAACGATTTTAGTATTTTTTCAACAGGACTTACCTCTCTCAATGCTCTAGACTGCACTCTGCTCCCCATATATGTACATACATATGTAGGTGCCAATACATATGTACATCTGAAACGTATTTTATATAGACCTCACAGCAGTCCGCCGTTTGCCCCTACTACCACGAATCACTATAGATACATATAACACAGAACTAATAACGCCCGATCACACTTTTCACTGTTAAACGATTACAATCCCGAACTACGCTAACTASTACCCAATTTTACTAAAACCATTATAAATTACAGCTTTAGTTTCAAAAATAATTGCACTTTTCACAGAACTTCTACAAATTCCACSGACGCAAGCGATAATCTAGCAAGCATATATTTAAAATGGCGGCGGAAATTAACTACGAATGATATTCGTGCTGTCAAAATTGAAGCGACATCTGAAAGCACTTCAGTAACTAGCACAGGGTAGCATCAGTTTTCAAAGTACTTCTAAAAATACGGATATATAAAATAAATATATTTTCAAGTGGTTTTCATATGCTTGATTGTTATTTTGATTTAATGACGCTAATAGCACACTAAAGCTAATCACGCTTATGRYTTTTCYTKTATAATGGCTAGATACTCTTCAATAGGCAGACKGTTGTCAGCTGATGGCAGTACACTCTATAAAATGCCACCCTCTGTTGGTAGTAGATTGAAGAGGGATCAATGCAAACCAGCTAGTGGTTAAATTAGCTGTTAACTGACCAATAGCGCTACTAAGTACTCCTAAAAATGTTTCACTAAGTTACTTAAGGCCGAATTTCCAATTCAAACCAAAACTTTTTTGTCGCTTAAAACTAATAGCATCTGTGCATGASATAATTTCAAAGAGTAATATGTGCGCCATCTGTAGYTSAAAATTATTTGTGAACCCTGTAGTTTTAGGCGATCTCCTACAATATCTACAGAGACCACTTCAAATATGAAGCTTGTGTTCATCGTCGTTCTTAATTTCCGCCGCCATTTCGAACAGTCGTTTCCTTATATCGCGTTCGTGTAAGTCGCATATGCAGCAAYTCGGTGAAAAGTGATATTAATGTAGGAATTAAAGCTGCAATTAAAGAGTTTTTAGTRGAATTCGGTTGAAGTTYGTCAACTAAAGCGTTTTAAAGTGAAAAAAGTAATCCGGCGTTGTTATTTGTGTAGTAATAGTGAAAGTGAAAATTAGTGAGTGCAAAAGCTGAACGCTAAGCGTCGGCGCAGGCAGACCGCTGCCAGTGTTAGCGCATAAAATGTTATGCGACTGTTAATTATGTTATTTTAATGTAAATATGTAAGTGTTAGCAGTCTAGAAAAGAGTTGAGTGTAAGCAAGTGTAACAATTTATTGCAGAAAATGCGAAACGAAGTAAAAGTGCGGTAAGTGGACATAAAATATTATAATTTTTTTTTTTTATATCTATGCGGAAATGTGCCTTTTAATGGCAAGTTATGACATATTTACTTTGAATTAAATCTTCGTTTTTATCTTGAATACACATATGTATAAACACTCACAAACTTACGTACATACATATATTTGCACATATAAAATTCCCAAAGCATATATGGATTTAGTTGACAATGTTTCAATCGACATTCTTTTTCTAGCTGCTAACAGATGCCGTAGCATTTTTTAACAGTAAATATCTTTGAATGCCTCTTTCCGTCTTCTTTGTATCTAGCAGAGAATGTAAAGTATATACAAAAAACTACTCGTATATATGTATATATAAATACACATCTAGATGTGTATAAGAGACAGCATACATACATACATACATATGTACATAGATTGGTAGGGTACAGCTTAACTTAATTTTTGTAGCATTGGGTAAAGTTCGGAGCTATAGGAATCGAGTTGGAAGCACAGACCAGGGTCGTTAATTTTGGAACAAATTGTTGTCCCATGAAATCTATTAGAAAAGTATAAATGAAAGGAAATATAATTTACGTTGCAACTTGAGAAAGGGTGAGTTGTACTTAAGTTTTCAAGAGTTAAAAATACAGTTATATCAATTTCCGCAAAAACTTAGTGTCTTCTGGGGTTCAATTTTTAAGGAAACTAGCGCTACACAATTAGCACTATAAAGCCCTAACCTCAAATACCAGTTCAGCGGTGTGTGAATACAAACGAGTATGCTTTCGTGAAAGAATTTTCGTGACTATACCAGGTATATTACTATGAAAGCAAATTTTTAATCCATTAATTTAACATTAAATAGTTATTATTCTACACACTTTGGTGAGATTTAATTATTAGCGCAGAATTAGCCGATTTATAGCAAGAATTCGGACATCAACAGCAGAAAACAGTGTCTCCTTAATCTACCGCTGCGAAGCTGTTCATGACAACTGAAAATTCTTGTGCATTACTGTCACCCTGTAATTTTCATTTCTTTTATATTATTGTTCGCTGAGAAACGTCAAAACGAAGATACGAAAACAAAACAAATGATAACTTTGTAGTAAACAAATTAGTATCGTTAATGAAAGTCAACGCCTTTTAAGTAATAGTAGATTTTCAAATTTAAATTTGTGAAACAAAATTATAACCGTTATGCTCCCGGAAACGGTAACATTTTCAATAACCCTACTCGTGTATGGATCRATACTTTTACTGCTAATTTACTATGTGAGTATCGAAGAGTAGTGCTTTGGAGTGCATATTACATACAGTATTCAATATAACAGGTACTGACACTTGCGGATCTGGAGAGTGACTATCTAAATGCTCAAGAATGTTGTTCACGTTTAAACTTTTGGGTTATACCAAAATTCGGAATACATGCTTTACTTTGTATACTGCTATTGTGTGGAGGGCACTGGATAATGCTATTACTTAATATGCCAATGGCCATATGGCTGGGATATGAACTGCAAAGACAACCCAGAGATAGTCTAGGTGTTTACGATCCGATCGATATACATAGCCGTGGACTTTTGAAAGTGCATCTCAGAAATTGCATGATTTATTTGGGTTATTACTTCGTTATGTTTTTCGTAGCAATGTACTGGTTGGTATCATATATAATACTATATAGCACTTTATTTGGATGAACATTCTTTTCTGATTGTATTTCAGTTTAATTAGTTCACTAATCAAGGGAGATCCAATTAAACGACATGAGGAAGGAGAATTTATAACCGAATTTTAAATGAACCGTATATACTAAGCTGCACTAATCAATACGCTACAATCAAATAGTTGTAAATTTTATGTTAGTTTTAATATCGTACTAGTCAAATTTTGTCACAATCGCACCGTATAATGATAAGTAGTAATGTCTTCCTTTTTTAAATTTAAGTGCAGAGTATCGTAATCATTTTGAACCAGTCAAAACTCATGGTCATTCGCTCTAAACGTTGTATCGACTCATCTATTCAATAATAAGTGCACACGCATATAAACGCATTTGTACATATACATAACGGTATAAAATGTCGAATGTTAMCTAATTTCGTTGTCACAAACTTATGTATTAAAAATTTACTTTGATGTAAAATTAATTTTGAACGCCATTCAATTTCAATTTTGCTCTTTACGAATAAAACATTTGCTTTGATATATCATTTTTTCATTTCTTTCATTTCTGATTTATCAGTCTACACGACGTACAATACATATATATTAGTTTATTGTTTAATATATTCTATTTTTAATTTAAATGTTTCAAAACCTGTTTACAACTAATAAACCATATATAAAATTACTAATTTTTGAGTATGCACTTGCGTAAGGCACGAGTTCAGTTCACTTCAGAAAATCTACTACTTCCTGTAGTTCTCGTTCCCGCGCTTGTTTTTGCGCCCAACGTGATTCAGCTAGTTTTACATTAACAACCCAACGATCGTGCGCCAACCGAATTCCACATGTTCCTCCGTTGTCTGCATTGACAATCGGTTGCTTTCCATTACTAATGGCACCACCCATATAGTACTTTGCATCGGAACGCGGATGTCGTCGCTTAGCTGGGCATAATTTACCACCCTTAGGAAAAGGTGGCTGTTGTAGGTAATGCTTCAGGCAAGCCTGATGAAAAAGGTGTCCRCAGTATACACGTTCCACATATGAGTCCTTTGTATCATCTAACTCCAACTGAGTTGGTTTCTTTGGCAACACCTCTTTCTCACAAATTGGACATAACTCTATATGAAAGTCCGATGTAGCGGCCAGACAAAATTTGAGAGCACGATATAGGCTAGGTACTGGTTGAAAAGCCAATTGTTCCTTCTTATTCAAACGAAGTGGTGGTTCGACACATTGTCTAGCGATTTCACGTGATTGTCCGTTCAAGTAACGAAGCAAAATTGCTGGTAAATTCGTTTCCTGATTCTGTAGTTGTACACACTCTTTCGGGTAATCCTTCGGTAAAAATGCACTCACTTTGTAGTAGTACTCGCCACCTTTTGCTGTTAATTGCACAATCGAATGACGCTGTTTTAATTTCAATTGATCCGGTGTGGCATCCGTGCCAAGATCKCGGCGTAGGTCTTGTATTTCGTCAAAACAAACACAAAGTGGATTTTCAGTCAGATATTGTTGCACAAATCTTAGTACATGCAGTCCTTGCGGTTTTCCCAAATGTTGGCGCGCATGTTTCTCACTAAGTGTTGCAAGGCCGTCTAGGAACTTATTGGACAACGTCCGACTCTTCAGTTCAACAAGGATTGACTCATCTGGATAATTGGCTGGAAAACGCAGGCAAACCGTGAGTTGGCGATGCGACTCATTTTCGTTTATGTCTACGCGCACAAGCGGTGATTCCCCACAAATGCAAGCTACAATTTTAGAATTTGGTACGGTATTTTCGCACAGCTTACGTATTTCTTCAATTTCAAAATTAATTATACTCATAATTGTTAGTCACTGCAATGTAATGTTATTTATATTTAAACTTCCAATGTGAATTTTTATTTACAATTTCCAAATGTGCAACAGCTAGGGTTGCCGTGCTGCCAAAAAATTATTACTGCTTTAACGGTACAARTTATTCTGCAATTGCAACGTAAACCTAAAACATATGTTAGTTTACATTATATTTAAACTATGCGAACAAGCATCGTTAAAATTAGTTAAAAAAATCTTAATATCTATGAAAAATATTCCGAAACATTTACTAATCTATTAACAAAAGAGGTTTTGGGTATTTAAAAACTGAAGTAGTCTGGCAACAATAATATTGTCAACAAATATTCATATTAAAGCGACTCAACGATGCAGTTTTTATTATCAAGGTTACGAAAAATGCATATTTTGTTAATAAATAATAAAGTTTTGATGAAAAGTGGTTGATTCCTAGTGGAAAACAGCTAAATAATAACAAATTTCCTGTTTTAAAAAAGCCAAGATAGAATACACCAAAAGTTACTACAAGTCAAATTTCAGAGAAGATATACAATTTTGTTTCACAAGTAGGTATATTTACATTGATAGCAGTTTATACTAGTCCTTGGAATGATTTCCTTTAATTTTTTTTTTTTCTTAATATTATTTTTCCTTTTAATCGCGAAAATTCTTAAATCCTCTGAAATTTGCAGAATGTTTTCTATTCTTTCTTGGACTGAACCGCGTTCAATATCGACTGCGCCACTGTTGCATCTTCAGCAGCCATACCTAGATTGAAACCAAATATTATTTGTGTTCGAAACAATTATTTTCACTCACCCATCGATTGAAATATTGTTATTTTGTCATTCAGTGGATATTTTTTTGTATTGATAACTTCTCCTACTTCACCAATAAGCTCAGCTTTTAATCCATTTAACTCTTTCTTCGCGTTTTCCCAGGAATCAATATATACTTTTCCATTCTCGTAAATGTCTGGTCCAACTTCGCCAAAATGCACTTGACCAGCGCCAACGGCTGTAATATTGGTATAAGAATTTAATATATTTGAGTACAAATGTCTAGACATAAGACATAAATTTTAATTTTAATTAATTTAAATATTAATATTTTCTCAGTTTGTAAGCAAAGACACAAACAGGTTTTAAGATCTACATACATCTATTTGTGTTGAGGCTGGTATATTGTACTTCATTTATGTGCAACTTACTATTAATATGAACATGACGCTTCTTTAACATGGTATGTGTAACTAAAGGTGTGGAAGAATATGTGCCTACGCAAACGACATCAGCATCTGCAACTGCTTCAGATGCGGTTGAGCAGACGTGAACTCTTACGTTTGCTATTTCCGATTGCAGTTTTTTCCCCAATGACTCGGCTTTGGTACTAGTGCGGTTCCATAGATAAATATCACTAACTGTGAAATAGGAGCACATACCAAGTGCATGACTTTCACCTTGAACGCCAGTACCTATTATAGCCACTTTGATTGGTCGTGCAATGCCTTCAGGATAGCGTGGAAAATATAAGTACTTTGTGGCCACTAAAGAAGCGGCTGCGGTGCGCCAGGCAGTAATATCTGTCCCATCCATGATGCAATCTAGTTTTCCTGTTTCCTTATTAAAGATAAGAATATTTGCCATAATTGTTGGTAGTGGATATGCGCGTTCAGGATTTTTTCCAAAGGATGTCACCACTTTACAAGCTAAAGTGCTGGATTTTAAAGTGGAATCATCATCTGTACTTGAGGTCAATCTGTAATTGCCTACGTATGCTGGCATGGTTAATAAAATATTGGTTTTATCACCACAAACTGTCATGCTACGAGCAGGTTGACTCGTTTGCGGGCTGTCGTTGTCATCCCGATCTTGATCTACTTTTGAATATGAAACTGATTTCATAGCTTCCTCAACAGCTGCGCACACCATCCTCCAGTTGAGTACCTCACGAACTTGTTCTGCAGTTATTTGAATTATTGGCGTGGACATTTTTATGGATATTTCCTTWAGTTAGAACACAAGGGACTTTATGAACGTAAGTTAATTGTGTTATCTTTGCATGCGTTTACATATGTGCTTAAATGTGTGTATGTGTTTGTTTTATCAGCATCATAGTTGAAATTGCTTGTAATAAAAAATATATGATCACTTACATCTATCTACAAATAGTGGAGACATACAATTAGTTATTTGTATATTAAGTGGCAGCACTGTTTGTATCATCATTAAAAATAAGCAAACTCAAGTGCAAAGTTAGTCGCCACGTTGTGATTCACATTTGTATAAAATAAATTTAAATAAAGATGGTTTTGGATTTAGATTTGTTCCGTAGTGACAAAGGCGGAAATCCAGACGCTATCAGAGAGAATCAGAAAAAGCGTTTCAAAGATTTGGCTTTGGTAGAAACAGTCATTGAGCAAGACACCGAATGGCGACAACGCAGACACCGTGCCGACAACCTAAACAAGGCGAAAAATCTATGCAGCAAAGAAATTGGAGAAAAAATGAAGAAAAAAGAACCGCAAGGTGATGCCGCTGAAGAAGTTCCTGAAAATGTCAAGGGCAATTTGACTGAAGTAACTTCAGACATATTGCGTCAGCTAACAGTGAATCAGATAAAGAAGGTTCGCGTACTAATCGATGAGGCGATGTCAGAAAATGAAAGGTGTCTGCAGCAAGCCGAGCAGCGCCGAAATACTGCACTACGTGAAGTTGGAAATCATTTACATGAAACAGTGCCAGTATCCAATGACGAAGAAGAAAATCGTGTTGAACGGACATTTGGTGACTGTGAACGCAGAACGAAATACTCTCATGTCGATCTTATTGTGATGATAGACGGCATGAATGCTGAAAAGGGTGCAGTTGTATCAGGAGGSCGTGGTTACTTCTTGACAGGTCCTGCAGTATTTCTCGAACAAGCGCTCATTCAACATTCACTACATATGTTGAGTAACCGTGGTTTTACACCTTTGTATACACCCTTCTTCATGCGCAAAGAAGTTATGCAGGAAGTAGCACAACTTTCGCAATTTGATGAGGAACTSTACAAAGTGATTGGCAAAAGCAGCGAACGCGGCGATGAAGTTGCTACAGATGAAAAATATCTTATTGCAACTTCAGAACAACCAATTGCTGCATACCATCGCGATGAATGGCTGCCGGAGGCTTCTCTACCTATAAAGTATGCTGGTTTGTCAACCTGTTTCCGTCAAGAAGTAGGCTCTCATGGTCGTGACACTCGTGGTATCTTCCGTGTTCATCAGTTTGAGAAAGTTGAGCAATTCGTACTTACTTCCCCGCATGATAATAAATCCTGGGAGATGATGGACGAAATGATTGACAATGCTGAAACATTCTGCCAGTCTTTAAATATTCCATATCGTATTGTTAATATTGTATCTGGTGCGCTAAATCATGCTGCCTCAAAAAAACTTGATTTGGAAGCTTGGTTTGGTGGTAGCGGCGCATTCCGGGAACTAGTTTCGTGCTCCAACTGCCTTGATTATCAGGCACGACGACTTCTTGTACGTTATGGTCAAACTAAGAAAATGAATGCTTCTGTGGATTACGTGCATATGCTCAACGCCACAATGTGCGCCACAACCCGTGTTATATGTGCTATTCTCGAGACTCATCAAACGGAGACTGGCGTGAAAGTGCCAGAGCCATTAAAAAAATATATGCCCGAAAAATATCGTGACGAAATTCCATTCGTAAAACCGGCGCCTATTGATGTTGAAGCAGCTGTCGCTGCTGCCAAAAAGGGAAAAGGCAAAAAAGACCCTGCTGCTTAGGAAATTATTGTGAAATATTTATGGAATTATGCTAAATGCAAGTTTTTTGTTTATACTATAATGCGATTGGGAACACTTTTTCAGTTTGTAGAGTTGCTGCTTCTAAATAAAAAAAATTTCAAATCATTAAAATAATCACAACGATTGTATTTATTTAAGATTAAATATTGCTTTATGCGAAAATTTTTTTAATACAAAAGAAGAAAGGAAGAATTAATAAATAAAACTACTTAACGCAATAAATATGTTAATGTTATTTAAAGCTGCTAGTTTATAGAACTGGCTGTTTTTGTTGTGGTGGCATAAAAAATTATTCCAATTGTAGGAAGTGTTGACGAGTGATACTGGAAGACCCGGTTTTCTTATAAACGGCTTAGATAATTCGTAATAATATGCCTTTTTTACTGTAATAATATTTGTTTACAATTGGTTTAAATTTTTTTGCTATATAAAGTGATTTTTTGTCAGGGCCTTTTCCAATTGGAACACATTTGGTTACCTTGGAAACCAAAAAAACTTGTTTATTTCAGTTTGTGGAATATCACACTATTTTCATACATTTTCAATTAGAACGAAAGAAAAATTACATTAAAATACAATAAAATATTTCAACATTTCCAATGAGACAAACAAGAAAGGAAAAAACTAGCCAAAAGCTTACCCGATGGGATCGAATACGAAAACGAAATACATGTAAAAATGCATCTTCATTAAAAACTGATATTGTAAAAAATTTCATTGAAAAGGACTATATCAATCAGCACGATGAATCCGTATTATGTGGCAAAAGCTTACCAAACAAAGTGCTTAATCCTGTACTTGTTATGGATATGCGACATGAAATGGTAATCGACGTTAAAATAAGTGGAGATAACAAAATATGTATCTAATGTGTATCTAATATGTATGTAAATTTTTACAAAATAGTTTCGCAAAATACCACGAAAATTGCCTTTAGCTACTGTGGGTGGACTACGAACACTTGACGCTTGTGTAAACCATAATTTGGCCGTTGAGGAACGCTACATCATGAATGAATTAAGCAAATTTCGGCAACAACTAMAGAAAAATCGCAAAAGGAACACGCTTCGAGTAAAAATAATTCAGAGTGATGACAATAATAAAATATATGACATGGACAATGAGTATTTAACACAGAGTTTGGTTAGGGCTGCAATGCATATTGAAAACTTTTACGCTGCGCCTTTGGAGGCATTGCAAAAGGTTGATGAGATATATGAAGCTACCATACTAATAAAAAACAACAACGAACTTGAAGAAGCCCATCAGGAAGAGAATCTCAAAGGCGCARTGGAAATGGTTCCTGAAAGCGATTTCAAAGCAGATGTAACAAATGTTGAAGTTCAAGATGATTATTTATTAAAAAATACCATCATCGATAATGCGAATGTTGAGCATACCAAGACTGATAGTTTAAATAAATTTTCAGAAAAGAAAGTTGAAGAAATTGAGTCGCGGAATACAATCATYGTCAATGAGCCGGAAAGCAATCTGCTTGAAAGTAATCTTGAAAACAAATCTTTTGAAAAAGATCAACAATTTTTGAAGGGAGCCTGCAAGTGTCCCAACAGTGTTGATATGGAATCAAATGGTAAAGCTTCATGTAAAGAACGTTGTGTGCGTTTTGTTGAAACGGTGAATATAAAGAACTTCGATCGGGAGAATTCCATATGCTCAAATACGAGTGATGGTATTGATTCAGTTGTTTCGGATTTAGCAGAGGAAGCACTTTTCGAGCTACAAATGGAGGCAGAAGAAATATTAACACAAGAAAACGGATCTAACATGGAGAACAAAAAAGCCGCTGAACCCTTTGAGGTTCAAATCAATTCTAAAGATACTACTTCTCAATATGTAGCAAATGCATTGGAACCACTTGTTATTACAAAACTTTCAAAACCGAAAGAAGTGGATGCCGCAATTACAACGTCAGAAGAGTTAGAAGATGAGAGCATTTCCAACCACGAGCAAAACTTAATTATTCAGCAACTTTTTCGGCCACGAACAAACACAAACCTTACGTTGTTGAAAAAGTATTTCTTAAAATGGATACACTTCGTAACCATTGAGAAGATAGAAAGAGAAGATGTGTCCAGTAAAAGTGATCGCGTACATAAAATCAATATGTTCTTGGACAAAATACGAAAAGAGAAATTACGTTTAACCCGCTATGCGCGTCAGTGTAACACTGGGCAAGCACGTGAGGAAACTCAAAAAACTCCAGCGGTTTCAACGCAAACAACAAAAAAATACCAAAACAAGTAAGTTTAAAAAGAGTTATTCAATAATGAAAAACCAAAGTGTGTTAACGTCTATTATACATCGCTACCGTCAACTAAGTCCCCAATCATAACATATTTTGTTTTTGTAAACTATCGTGTTACTATTTCCCAGAATAAAAATACAACAGGACATTATTGATCTACAAAGGCTAAAGCTCGARCGGCAGGAACGCATAATTATGGAACTAAAGTTGAATAAGCTGTCTGATGAAGCTAAGGAGGCCAGAGAAGACTTAAAAAATGAGCTSAAGACCATCATACGTCATGGTGATCCGAAGTTCAAAGCAAAAGCTAAATGTCTACAGCTGATCGGTAATCTGYGTGATGAAAAAGATGAAAATATGACCACTTTACAAGGAAAAGCTTTATTTATGCCTAAATTCTTACTTCAAATGGAGGAACGCGCTTTGGAAAGAAACATTCGTCATGAAAAAGCTCGTCAAAGACGTTTGCAACAAGAGGCCGAGAAGGAGGCACAAAAGATGGCTGCTGAAGAAGCAAAGGTTTATTCTGATTTTATATAAATTGAATTTTTTTGTTAGATGCTACTACTTCTAATTAGCAAGCAAAGTTAGATTTATCGTACATTTTTATATAATTTTCGCTAACATCTTTCGCTAGATACTTGACCGAGTTTTTCATTCTATTACTTAGTTTCAAATGTTAGATTCTTATTGAGAACCGCCATTAAAAACAAGAAAAAACATGAATTTGACCTATCAGTTTGTATGGCAGCTATATGCTATAAAATTTCAATATAATCCGACAAATAAAAAGTTTTTTGGGGTTAAAAGGACGTGTCCAGAATTCCAGATCGACATCTCCARAACTGAKGGACTAGTTTGCGTATATACATACAGACGGACAAACAGACARACATGACTAAATCGACTGAGCTSGTCATTTATAAATATACTTTCTGGTATATACTACAACGTTTTCTTCCAGGTGGCAAACTTAATAACCCTGTTCAGGGTAAAACTAAAAAAATGTCGATTAGAGTTAGGACCGAAAAGTTCTTAGAACAAAATAAAAGTTGATTGTTTCCATTTATTTATGTAAACTTTTATTCCAAACGTTATAAACTTGGTTTACAAGAAACAATAATCAACTTTCTTCATGGGTTATCTTATTGAAGGTTGTTCAAATAAGTTGGTAGCATTAATGAGGTTCTYCATCAAATTTTTAGCGTCTCGAAGATGAAGAGGCTAAGCGCTTGCGTATTGAAGCTTTAAAAGAAAAACGTCGTCAAGAGAAAATGGCTAAAGTACTCAAAGAACGAGAACATCAACGGTCGCTTGAGGCGAAGCATAAAGCGGATGARTTTTATCGCCGGTTACTGCTGCGTCGCATTGGTATGGAAGGATTTAAACGGTTGATAATACGCAAACGTGAGAATAAGCGAAAGTGYGAGCATTTCAGACGGCAAATTTTTAAACGTACATATTTCGCAAACTGGCGCGACTACTATATAAAATTACGCAATGATCAACAATTAATGGCTGATGATTTATATGATAAAATAATAAAAAGGAAAACATTATGTGCATGGCAATTGTATGTTCAACAAGAGCGTAGTAAATTCAATGTAGCCGTCGATTGGTGTGACTTGAAGCGTACCGAGATCACATTCAAATTATGGGCACAACATAGCGCACGAATGAGCGCCATTGCAGCAGCAAAAATGAAACAGGCGACATCTCACCACGAATGGTAGGAATAAATGTCAATATAAATTTGTTGAATTTTTCCACAAACCTTTGGTTATTTGTTTACTTTCGTGCAGGCATTTGAAGTGGAAGGTTTTGGATTGTTGGCAACGTTTACCGCAAATATTACAGTTGGAAAGAGAGACGGAGGAGCGACGTCAACGTTGGCGCATGAAAATATGGGAGCTGCTGCCAGATTACACACCAAACAGAGATAACCCATAAATAGAAAAGCTGCTATCAAATTATCTTTTATAAATAAAATAGCTTTTTACAGAGTTGAATTTTATTTCATATCACTTATTACCACAATCTAATAAGTTAGTTAATCAGTTTCATATACATAACTCGAATTAGTTGAAAGCTTTTTTAGAGAGCACAAAATTAATGTCACACTTGAAAGAATAGTTGTTGTTGTAAGTAGTTGCAGTCCCTAAGTAGGATGACGAATTAATGTTAAACTAACGGTAATATATGCAAAGTTACTATATTATCATACAAGGAATAATTATTATTTTTAATGCAATTCATATGAAGCATAATTCTTTCTCTTTGGTTTATTTAGTACACGCGACACTAGCTTAGTTAGTAGAATTTGTGCTGATGCCAAATTTTTATTTGGTGGACTTCACACATTTTACCTTTTAGAGAGCAAAACTTTTGCAGTTGTATTTCACTGTTTTGTTATTTCCCCGCAAGCCGCTCTTCCATTCCTGTACTGTTATTCCGCGTGAGATCATATACCCCTGTTGCACAAGCATCACCAATATATATTGTGATATAATTAAAGCGTAAATAGCAATAACAAAAGCTACGGATAATCTATGAGAACAGTTGTTGATGAATGACATACTTTTTCAGGTTCAAAGCATTCTACTTACTCATACATCTCGAAAATTTCAGTGCAATCGTCTGGTAGCAAAATTTGCACGCCTGCAATGTTAGCAGCTAAAAATGGATGACACACCGCTGTTAGTGTCAAATCAGCACCCACTATCAAAGCTAAAGCTCCAAAAATCATTCCTACAATATAGTAGCGATGATTACTTTCGCCTATACAGCAATTTAGCCAATAACTGTGGTGATCAAGGCGTTTAATACAAGCTCTGCAAACAGGACAATGTGCAGTTCTTGCCGGCACACACTTGCGACAAGTTGCGCAGAGATTTGGCTGATTACTGTTGATACCATCCAATGATTGTACCTCATCCAAATCTTGCTCAATCAATAATGTTGTTTGCTCTGTTTCATTCTCCTCATTAACGCTTGTTTCTGCAATATCTGGCAGCTCGCTGCCCCCAGTGAGAGGTTGTATGACTCTATTTAAAACGGCTCGTTTACGAGTTTGCCAAAAACAAAACACAGATATTATAGAGAGAAGCGCTAAAACCACATTTTCTTCGGGTAGTACTTCCAATAGTGGTACAGTAAACTCAAATAGCAATAATAAATAAATTAAAGATGAAAGATTCCAAATACTGAAGAAGGTAGTATGTCCTGCATTACGGTGAATGTAATTATATGCGTAACACATGATCACAGAACATGCTACAAAGATTACAACACACGTATATGCATTTATCGCCGCTATACTTATTAGTAGCGGTATAATGAATACGGGGGCAAGAGTATCAAATGTAACTTGTTTTGCCCCACCATGCCATGGTATACGTAGGCGGTCYTGAAAAGATAACAACATATTGCGTTTACGAGATCGGTCGATGCGTCGACAGGTAAGCCAACTATAATTAATAATGACATTGATTAATAACTTTTCCACAACAAATGCTTCCGGCATACTCACTCAGTAAATACTTTGTCAAAGTCTTCACAATTGCAGCAGCAGGCAAGAATGTGATAACGTTTATTTTGGTGATCTATATATTCGCAACAACAGAGATCTGAATTCGGATCTTTTTCAGAATCTAACTGGTTTTGCGACTGCGAAAAATAGTCTGCCATAAAATTTGCATTTAGAAATATGGTCAGCGACACCCAATTGTCAATATTTTTGTTTTTTGTAATTTCCAGCAGCATTAAAAAAAAAAATAAACGTCCAGTGACATTAATTACCTATATTTTTGTAAAATTCATTTTTAATATTGTTCTTCTTTGCTAAAAGTAATCAATAAATAGTTAAATTTTGTTTATATTCATATACTCTTACTTCTCTCACCCGGCTGCAAAAACAAACATGCCAGATTGTCTGGAAAAATTCTAATTGCGAATTAACCAGGGTTCTCATTTCTGTGCAGAATGTGGAAAAAGAAAACGGAAACAAATTGAATTGTACCCAGTAAGACACGACTACTAAAAACACACAAGAGCTTCGAAGAGAATTCTCCATTTCGACTTAATGGCGGATTCACTTAAAATCAATTGCAACAAAGCACGGAAAACTTATTCGCTTTGTTGTTAAATACATTTGCCTTGAAGTAAAAGTTAATCGCACAAAAACTATGACAGAAATCTTTCCCAGTTCTATTGGGTATGAAAGTGTTCCTAACTTTCCAATATATCTTGCCGAAATTTTTCAATATTATTATCGAGTTAACGGTACCTGTGAAATACCCTTTTCCGGTATTGTTAAAAACTACAACTTCTTCTACTTAACAACAGTGCGCCAGTCGTTCTTCTTTTCAAAAGGTGACGCCAATTCGAGATTCCAACCGAAGTCAGATCCCTTTCCCCCTAGTCTTTCCAACGTAGTGGAGACCTTTCTCCTCCTCTGCTCCCTTCGGTGGATACTGCGTCGAATACTTTCAGACCTGGAGTGTTTTCGTCCATTCGAAATTCCATTATATTGAAGAAGTCGCACGATAGGGAGTCGCTTTGTCTGAAACCTCGTTTTGGACGGAGCTTTTGGTATTGCTCAACGTCAGTTAACACATCAGTATTACCTGTAGTTTTGCGAGGATACCAAATTCAAATATAACGGCATAAATGCAGCGCTTTTCGTGCGGACAAAAGCAATTTTGAAATCGACGAAGAGGTCGTGTGTGCCAATTCTCTTTCCATGGGTCTTTTCCAAGATTTGGCGCATGGTGAATATCTGATCAGTTGTTGATCCAGGTCTAAAGCCACACTCATCCCCGCCACTTTGTTGTTTTCTGATTGCCATTCACTTGGAAGTTTCCAGAAACGGTTCTTTTACATATGGCTCAAGCAGCTCACGATTTCTGGTCCTAGACCAAGTATCCTCTGGGTAGCCAAGGAACAGCCGTTTGAAGGCCTGTCAAAGTGAAAAGGCGAACCATCCCTCGCCAGGGTTGTGCGCTATGTTTGGAAACCGCCACGTAAAAACGCCCCAATGAAAAGCAATAAACAGCCTCGGAAGAAAAGTCCTCCTTTTGGTGGCGACCATGGCAAGAGCAAAAACTACTACTATACAATTTTAAATTATATTCAATTCTTTTTATGGATTTATAGTACGCTACCTTATAACCAAAATTTATCCAAATTCAATCAAAAATGTTCAAACTACCATTCCATATAGAAAAAACAACGGTTTGGTATGGTTTGTGTATTTGATGCCGCTGAAACGATTATTTGATGCCTGAAATTGGTTTCAACAAAACTCCACTTCCCACACATCGCATAAATCTTTGGATGTATTGAGAGAAGACTTCGGTGAGCAGATAATTTCACGTTTTGGGCCGTTGGATTGATCCAATCAAGATCGTGTGATATTATACCGTTACACTTTTTCCTGTGGGGATATGTAAAGTCTAAAGTCTAGGCGAACGATACCGCTTCGATTCAGACCTTGGAGCAAAACATCACGTGTGTGTGTGAATAAAATAGAAAAAATACGGTATATACTACCCCCAATTCCTATGTATTACATATAATGCTTTTCGCTTTTCTAACAAACCTTATGCCGAATATGTCGGTCAGAGTATGAGTTATATGTTCATATATACATACATACATATGATATTGTATTCCGATCCTCTGGTTGACGTTTTACAACTTAAGGTCAAAGGAAAATACCTTTTTGCAAATTGCAAGGCAATAAAATGGTTTTTTTTTAAATAATTTTTTTTTTTAAGTTTTTTTTTTATTCTATTTTTCGTTTACAATGAGTTTCCTGTAACTTCAAAATTCTTTAAATTTCTAACATTTCAAAGCCTTCTGCACTGTTCTCTTTGGCGGGAAATTGAATAAAAAATGCAATTTTGTAATTAATTTTTTTGTTTGGAAATGTTTAGGTTTATTTACAATATTTATGTAGTTGTCTAATGTAAAATTCAATAGTTACTAAAATACATATTTAGGTATGCAAACGCTATTATAATATATTTACAATGCAATAAGAACTCCAAAATAAATATGTATATAGATAAATGTAGTGATTAACAAACGTATATATATATATATAAATATATGTATGTATAACTATTATATAAAACTTCTTTACATATTCAATAGTAGTGTAATAAATATGTAAATGGAACTATGAACAGTTAACGTTTTTTTATGTTTTACACAGCGATTACATACATATTTATCTTTAAATACTTACATATAAACAAAAATATAAATATATGTATGTGTATGTGGTTTATAAAACTACTAGTCACTGCTGAAATCCACTTGCGAATGTTTTATGTTTACTGAAATCACAGGTGGTAGTAATGTTTGTTAAATTTGCAACTTTTTTCTTATATTTATAAACTAATAACTGAACATAAATAACATACATACACATAATTTGTGTTTARCAGTTGTTTTTAAAATTACGCGCTCTACAATCAGCTTTTAATTATTATATATTTAGAAAAATTTTAAGCAATTTTTTATTTATTTTTTTTTTTTAATATTTTATTTATTTCTTTTTTTTCAAATTGTGTGTTAGCTGAGAATTGTACTCAGACCGTTATGTACATATATTTTTTAACGCATATATTGATAATATTAGGTATGCCTATGCTAACTGATAATACAATGGTATTTATAATACAATTATTATGCGTATATATAAATATCAGGTGGCAAGCTAGCTAGTTAATTAGTTAAATAATTACATGTACTACATATCTTAGAGAGATCTTAGCAAAAGTAAAGAAAATGTAATAAATAAAGAAAAATTCATTAAATTCATTTGCACAAGTTGACCACCGAAAAATTTCATTCGAAAATGAAGTTTTCCAATATTTTTAATATCATATAAATATAACTAAGTATGCACTATATAGGATTTATTAGCTGCAAATTGTTTTGTTTAACTTTTTTATAMAATTTTATTTATTATTTAAACAACTAAGTAATAATTAGATTGAAGTTAGCAACAATGAAATGATTTTGCAACTCAAAATTAGAAAAAAAAAATGTTWTGAAGAACCGAAAATAATGATTTGAAAATAATTGAATAAGATTTGTTGATATGATGCTACGCGTTGCCAACTTCTTTGTTGATATATGACATTTAACACTTTCAAATTTTATTTGCTRAAGGTGTGTTCACATGCCCGCGGCTGCTAAGAGTGCTATGTTATTATATTTTGTATGCAAAATTAATAAATTCTAATTATTTTTATATTTTTGACAGCTAAAATTAAATTAAAATTAAATCAAGTTAACTAATACACAGTTAAGCAACTTTTGTACAATTATTTTTTATGTCCAATTTTCATTTAATAAAAAAAATTTCAGTACACAACAAAACTTAAGACATACATGCCTCAATTCCCATACGTTTAATACAATAAACACGCCCCTATCTAACAAAAGCACTCCCCACAAATATGTAAAAAAAAGTTATTGTGTCTCTGCTCTCTCTCCATACAAGCGCTTATGGTTTTTTCCACAAATTTGACTGATCCGCACACACGGTTACAGTTTTCCCTACAAATGTGGCTGAGCCGCGTAGCTAAGCAGCTTAGATTTTTAAATCCGCCGGTGTATTTATCTGATCTACAGATAGGATCATCATATTCTTGATGTTAGCCACCTCCGATTCGAGGCGTGCCAAATGAGATTTCAGTATGTGCTCGCGTTCGGACGGTGTCACGCCCACAATTGAGCTGTTGCTCTTATCGGCTTTGCGTTGAAATTGTGCGGTCCACTCGGCGCTGCCGATTGAGATGCCCGAGTCGCGTTCATCGCTCGAATTATCGCCATTGTCCACCCAACCGGGTGGTGAAGCGCGATTACTCACCGGCTCTTGTTTAATGTGTTGTAGCGCTAGCAGCGCCGTAGCAGCCGCATCCTTATCACCTAAATGTGACTTATGGCGCAACTTGAGCGGCAAAGAATTGTTCGAATCACTGCTGCTGGGACTGGTGGTGCTGATGTTGACCGCATTGTTATGCTCGATATCGTCAACGCCATCCGGCTCGTGTTCATCATCGCCGGAGGCCACACCTGATGAGGAGGCCGACGACGAGATGGTGGATGAGAGCATATGCTCATAGGCCGGCGAGCAAGCGCGACGYGATAAATTTAACACGTCATTGCCACCGTTAGCAGCGCCATTACCGTTGACGGATGAGGAGGTAACCGCATCGACCGCGCTCGAGCTGACGCCATTGAGTTCAGGTGATTTTGTGTGATAGCCGTTTTCTAAATTCTGACTGGACGCTGTTACCTGTTCCTTTGTGCTGTAGGCATACATGCTGGCGGGATGTGGTGGCACGTATAGAGGTGCCGTTACCGGTGCATTGTAAAGTTGCGCTTCGGTCGTGTCGGTTGTGCCATTCGTGTTGATAGCAGCACCTGTCTCTTATACACATCTCATTGTAAAGTTGCGCTTCGGTCGTGTCGGTTGTGCCATTCGTGTTGATAGCAGCRCCGACTACAGCAACAACTTTGCGCAAATTATCGAGATCATCGCAGTTGACATTGCGATTGAGTGCTTGCAACACGTGCAAGTTCTGCAGATTGGACGGAGGTGCTGGTTGTTGTTGCTGCGGTGTCGCTGCTGTCACGTGGTGACGTGCGCTCTCCAAATGTGTGGGCGCATTAGCGTTATTGACGCCGTTATTTAAAACGCTCGTGTTGTTTGCACGTGCCATTTCAGCGTTATAGTTGGTGTTGAGCGGCAGGGGTGGTGGAGGCTGATAGTGTTCGGGGTTGAGGTGTACTGGCGAGGTGGACATTTGCATGTGTGCGACCGACGATATCACATGCGGGTGCGTTAATGTATTGGCCATATTTGTTTGATTCACATTCTTAATGGCCTGCTGYAGTGACTGTTGTGACGTTTTGCAYAACAAGCCGTTGTCGCCGTTCAAAGCGCTGTTCGGATCGCTGTTCGCCACCTGATTCATGGTGTTAGACTTTTGTGGTGTCAGTATGCCATTGGAAGTGGGTGTTTGTGCCATGGTTGTAGTGCTAGGCATGCCACCTGCGCCATTGGCGTTTGYGTGCGCTGGTATACCGTAGACAATGGATGTGGGCACCGCTGTGGTAGCGCCATTGAAACCGCCATTTATTGTCATTTTGGCACGCTTCGTAATACTCAATACCTGCTCRCTGGTGGGCAATGAAGCCAATATCTGTTCGACGCTCACCAAATTTTCACCGGAAATATTGAACTTATCTTTGATAGCGTCCAATTGTGCCTTGAGCACATGATTCTCTTTTGTCAGCTCAACGACACGCTGTTCCAAGACCATATCRTTGTAGCGACGCTTCTCGCGACTGCGTTTGGCCGCCTCATTGTTGCGTCGACGTCGATCCCAATAGCTGTCGTCCTTCTTGCTGTCCGGCGTAAACTCACGCTGCTTGCGCTGTGTGAAYAGATCCTTATGCGCTTGCGACTGTGACTTGGACATGCCGTGCGAATCAAATGAACTGTTGGAACCGCTGAAGCTGTTGCGGTATTGCTTGCCATTCACATGCGACATGTTATCGGGTAAGCTGTGACCACTGTCACTGGATTGTGGGCTGATAGGGCCGTACATGGAGTAGGCGTGTACTGCAAGTGGGAGTAGACAGAGCAAATTAGTGCTTATCACTATATGTCTCACACATTTCATATACACACATATAGTATAACAATAGTTGTATATAAACGTAGATTATGCGTCTAAATATTTTATAAACTCACCATTGTTTGCATCATTTGAGCTGCCGTTCAACGATAGTGTCGGCGAAATGGACGGTAAGCGTACGTTGTGCATTGTAGCTGTTTTTGTGTTCGAACCTGCTACCGAGGAACTTATGTTATTGTTATTCTTGTGATGGTTAGTATTTAAGGCAGCAACGCTGAGAATTTCCGGCATATCAGTGACGAAATTTCCACTATTCAAAGCTTCACTGTTGGCCGTGGAGCTGATATCATTGGATATTTGGTGCTGTTGCTGTTGTTGTTGGCGAGCGATCAGCTCAGCAACGGTATTCCGTTTATTGTACTGCTGTTGCAARAGCTCTAATTGTTGCTGGTTGAGGTTATTACAATTATTGTTGTTGTAAATGTCAGTGTTTTTGCTGTTAATGTTGTTGGCTTT